GGCCGTTTACCTCAGGGGTGCAGTGGAGAGAGCGGAGCGGAGCCCGGGGCCGCTCCCGCCCGCCTGGGAAGTCGCACGCCCCTCCCTGTCACAGCACGGAGCGTGAGGTGAAACGAGCGCGGGCAGGCTGCGTGCGCCCGAAGCGACTCCGGGCCTGTGTCCCCTGAGCAAAGTGCCCTGACACACGCAGAGAGCGGGAGGCAGAGAATCTCGGAGCCCTCCGTACCCAGATTGGTACCTCCACGCCAGCTCCTGGGCTGGTTTTTCGCTTTCTCCCCCCATGTGTGCTGCTAAAATCCCTGGGGTGCTGGGCAGCCGGACAGGCGATCTGAGAGCACAGAAACGGGGGGGGGAGTTGGTCCAGTTTGTAACTGGGCCAAACGGACAGGTAACGGCACCCTAGGAATTGATACATGGCAGAAAGAGGGGCGGTTGTTCTCCTTACCTCGATGTTTGCCAGTTACCCCTCTTTTACTAAAAAGCATCACAGTTTTGGGTTTTTTGTTAGTACAGATGCGATATTCACTTTCCCCTTAGCTCATCACATGCCGAGAACCACTGCTATGGTCTCAGGGAGGTTAAAGCGTGCTCAACCCGAAGCTTAATAAAAATGAGAATGGTTTTGTTTATGACATCTTAAAGGAGTCATGAAGAATAAATAGGAAAGAAGAAGGAAATGCAATTTTATATATATCTATATATATTTAGCTGTTTATCAGGCTCTCTGGGTGCAGCAGAACATGAATTTCCTGTCTGTTTCCCATTCCAGAAGTCACCACAGTGACGGTAGCCAATGTCGGTGCCTCCGCAGACAATGTTTTCACCACATCTGTGGCAAATGCAGCTTCAATTTCGGGACACGTGCTGGTAAGTCGGTCCTTAGCAAAGTCCCACGTACTTTCTTGGTGTAAATAAAGAGTTCAGTTTGTGTTGTAACGGCAAAGATAAGTTTTCATTGCAGTACACAGGCTTTAAGCCACAAAACCAGTAGCTGGGGGACATACAGTTTTTTCTTTATCACTTGGAGAGGTTTTTTCACCTTTCCACCCCCATATACTCGTTCTGTAATGGAACCGATGACCTGGAACATGTAACCTTTGAATTCAGTTGGCTGAAACCTCGAAAGGTAACCCAATAACTGCCATGCTGTTTTTTAGAGTACCTTTGAGAAGATTTGGGGGAATACTAAAATACGTTGGTATTTTAACTCTAATAATTTAAACTCTTTATTTCTTCTCTAGTCTGGGAGAACAGCCCTCCAAATTGGGGACAGCTTGAATACTGAAAAGGCCACTCTCATAGTGGTTCACACAGACGGCAGCATTGTGGAAACCACAGGGCTGAAGGGGCCATCAGCACCTCTCACACCAGGTATAAGGCAATCTGCTTGTGAAGTGTTGTTCTCCCGGAGGCGTTGCTTTTCCTCCATTTTAATTGTGTTGCTAGGATTAAAAAAAACGTTATGTGCAAAATATTATGCAGTTGCCTTATGTGAATCGTTTGTCCTCTTTTCACACGGTACCTCATGTATTTCTTGAGAGTAGAAGGATGCCTACTTTTTTTTTGTTTTTTTTTCATGTCAGAAATATATTTCATTTTCTTATTCTTTGCCCTAACCCTTGCAAATAAGCTCTTGAAAAGTCTTGCTCTGCTGCTGCGCTATCACATGCCTTTCTACACCCATCCCACCCCCAAAGGCAGATGGATCATTTTCGTATCGATAATAAAAGTTTGAGTCTCCCACCCTGCACATGAGTTCTTTCTAAAGGATCCTTGAGTGTAGTTTGATCGCCATTCAGGCTGCCTGCTGATAATTAAGTGTCACAATAGCTGGTGTCTTCATTGCTGCGGTTTTGTTGGCGGCTGCTTGGCAGTTTTCTGTCTGCCCACAAGATGGCAAGGCAAGCCTGCAGCCTAAAGCGCCATACGGGCTCGGCTCTGGGCAGGGGAAGATGCAGCCAGCCGCTTACACCGCTGCAGCTCACAACCTCAGCGTTTAATGCGCTCTTAGAGCGGCTTTCCTGAGGTGCGGATTGCTTATTTTCAGTCATTTTCAGAACGTTTCAGTTGAATTTTTTGTGGTGCGCCATGTCACTCACGTTGCTGCGGAGAGCTGTCGGCTGCTTCAGTTGGCCGCGTGACACTGCTGCCCCAGCCAAGCTGGGCATGTGAAGGTGTAGCCAGTGTGCTTTTTGGCTGCTGTCACCTTTCTTTTCTTTTTTTTCAAAGGACCGCAGTCTCCTCCTACCCCTTTAGCACCCGTTCAAGAAAAAACTGGAACCAAGTACAACTGGGACCCGTCCGTGTATGAGAACGAGCTCCCGGTGAGGTGCCGGAACATCAGTGGCATTCTGTATAAAAACAGACTGGGCTCAGGTAACAACGACCTTCTGTGCCGGCTCCTTCCTCACTTGGTGTGCTCTTCGTTTAATCAGGCTGCTTTTACGGGGCGATCGTGAGGGAAGAAAAAGACACTTTTCTAGCCAGCCCTTTCGATACTATTGTTCTCTTCTGTTTTGCTCTTTCTTCAGAGGCTTTTTAACTTTTTTCTTAAATCTGTGAAGATACAGGCTGCTGTGCAGTGAGTGTTGCTGGTAATAGGTTGACTCCTCTGAAGTTCTTTCTGTCTCAGAAGTAGACCTGCGTTTCTACAGAGCTCTAAAGAATCCCTGCTGGAAGGGAGAATGGAGAGCTTATCTCCTAACGGGACTCCTTAGCTGCCTTAGCCTCTCCTCTGCTCTTTTATCTCTGTGGCAAAGCTGAAGAAGCAGCAGCAGAAACTGTCGGCAAGCCTGACTGCGCAGCACAGCGCTTGCTTCATGGGTAGAGAGTTTTCTTCGTGACCAGAAGGATTAGAAATTTAAATTCAATTTAGGGAAGGGCTTAAATCCATGGTGTTTATCCAAGAAGGACTTATCCTTCTCATGGATGAGTAAATTTTCCTAGCCTTTTGATGCATTGGTGAGGCCCAAACACTAAACGTCTCTCTGAACCTGCAGTCATTGTCACAACCAAGATAATAAATGGGCATGGTTGTCCTAGAGTGATGAGAAGTAGCAGATGGCAATGTTTGGCGATTGCTATAGATTAACTGCTGTTTTGTCCAGCAGTCTCAGTATTTACTTCTTTAGGAAAGTGGCAAAATGATTCTCACCCTTTGCTAACAATTTCTTTCTTCTATTTTATTTCAGGAGGCCGTGGTAGGTGCATTAAGCAAGGGGACAACTGGTACAGCCCCACTGAATTTGAAGCTATGGCGGGACGAGCCAGCAGCAAAGACTGGAAGAGGAGCATCCGCTACGCTGGGAGGGCGCTGCAGTGCACGTAAGGTTAAGTTTGCTCCGTCCTTTCTGCTGGAGGGGGAAGGTGGAGTCTGCCCAGCGCTGCCGTCCGAGCCGTGCGCGCTGCCTGCTCAGTTATGTGCGCTGGTGCTGCGGGGCAAATCAGAAGCAACATTTTGATGTGGCTGAGAAGCAGTGATGTGAGAGGAATTTTTGTAGATGTGTTTTCAAAAAACGTGATACAAATCTTGCTTGTGCTTGAAAAGAGGTTATAGTTTGTGCAGGATGAAGTCCAGCCTTGAGCTGTATCGCAGGAACTGAGAAGTAAGCTCTCGCCCATGATACTGCAATTCAGTAACCTGACCTGCTTAATTCTGTTTGCCTGACGAACACGTTCTTCACTTGCACCATTTATGGAGTAGTGCTCTGGGTCTGTTATTTTCTGCAGTGTCCAGGAGTCCCGTGGAGAATCTGCCATTGCCATTAGGTTGACAGTTGGTTTCTGCTTGGGCAGAAACTTTATAAAGCCTCAAATTCACATATCCTTGCCTTTTGATCTGAAAATTGTTCGTTCTTCCTTCACTCTCCTCCCATCCGCTCACCCCATGATGCAGCAGAGCTGAGCTCTGTTACCGCACAGGGTCCCTGGGAGGGGATGGCTGCGTCTCTCTGGGAGCCATCTGAATCTTTTGGCAGAACGCAGCTGTGCTCGCGGTGGTTTTGGTGACTCTAATGCTGAACTGGTAATCTTCTAATTTCAGGATGGGATTTTAAATCCTCATGCTGCCTCTTGTACTTGTGCTGCTTGCTGCGACGACATGACTCTGGTGAGTTGCAGGTTTTACATCCCTTAGTTTAAAAACAATCAGTCAAGCTGCCAGGCCATTTGCGAGCAGGTGGAGTGTCCTGGAAATGTTTGTTCACGGGTACTGTGGTTGCAGCGTGCTTTGTCCGTGCTGCATACAGAAAGGAGGTGAGGGACTGCTAGCACTACTGCGTAGCAGCCTCAGTAAAACTGGGTGATCATTAATGCTTTTTCTTTTTTTTTTTTTAATAATATATTTATGTAAAATGCCTTTTGGAGATGCCAACGCTATTTGTGATTTTTGACTCAAATTTCACAATTTTTTGAGCTGGAAAAAATGTTTTGATAAGGAAGTAATGTAATACTCTATGTTGGATTCATATTTTCATATTAAACTGCTTGGGTTTTTTGGTTGGTTTGTTGGTTGGTTTGGGGTTTGTTTGTTTCAGGAATGAGGTTAAAGTCCTGAAGGCAGAAGTCTTTAGCTTGACTTGAAGTAGTGTTTTGCATTTCTTTTCTGCTGTGAATTGGATGATTTGCTGGTTTCCTAAACCTGACACTAACTGCTTCCTGTCTTCCCCTCACTCTTGTTCTCTTTTCTTCCACCGCCTTGGCCCACAGTCAATTATTTACCCAGTTCTGCTCCTTAAAAAAGTGGCAAGAGGCTCAATCTGTGCCTCTTCAGCTGGAGGGAGCTGAGCATAGCTTTTTTTCACAGAGTTCTGTTGGTTTGGAGAAGTAGGAGGTTTTTGGGCAGTTGCTGCAAGCCACACATCTTCCGTGGGAATACGCGCTGCTTGACCTTAGCTGCATCTGGGAAGATGAGAGTAAACCCAAAGTCCCCAGAGAGGTGCCTCCGCTAATGCCTCTTCCTTTTTTCTTTTTCTTTTTTTTATTTTTTGGTTTTGCCTAGAGTGGCCCTGTACGACTCTTTGTACCATATAAAAGACGGAAAAAAGAAAATGAAATGCCTGCAACTCCAGTGAAGAAGGATTGCCCCAAAAACATCACTCTGCTTCCTGCCACAGCTGCTACTACATGTAGGTTCTTTTTTCCTAGTAAAAATTGCTTCCCTTTTTTGATGAAGAATTGCCATGCTAGATATTTTATATCTGTCAGTGGCCCCTTGGAACTCGCCAACTGAGAGAAATGTCTTCTTTTTTGGCACATGCTGTTTGTTGGCTCAGTGTGTTTAGCGAGTTTCACTTCCTATTTTGTAGAAACTAGCGTGCCGTTGCCACATCTGGACTGCAAGTCGAGTGGGGAAAAGTGCGACTCTAGATCTCGGGGAGACTCGGTTCTAAGCCTCTTACTGTCCTTTTGCAGTGAGCAGCAGGTTTCATATTTTGTTCTGAGAGAGGTCTGGATTATATTTCCACTCTCTACCTGCTCTCTCAGCCTGGCAGCGCAGGGCGGGTTGTGGAGTCCTGGCCTTGACCCGTAGTGGGTTTCAGGTAGGTTTTTCATAAATGACAACGGAGAAATTTCCTCCTGTTGAAATTAGGTTGAGGGGAAGGCTGGCCCTTCTCTGCTCTGCCAGAGTTCCCCATTCCATCCTCTGAGCTAGTGTTTGTCCTTTAGAAGCTGGTGGCAGCTATGGAGTAAGATTTGTGCTATTTCATGAAATATGTAGAAAAGTAGGCCCCAAGCAGCTGGAATGAAATCCACAGCCTGCAAGTCGTTAATGAAAGAGGCAGAAGGTGACGCTTTCATCTGCAAATTCCTCTCTAACATTCAGGACGTGCTTTGTTACTTACTGGTTTTGATTGTCAAACCATCTGTGTGAGAACAGAAATTAATTTGCAAGCTCATCCGGCTCACACATTCCCAGTCACATTTGTGTGTCCTCCTGCTCTCATCACGCTAGCATCGTCTGGACGGTAACAGTGCAAAGTGAATTGAGGAGGAAGCAACAGAAATCCAAAAAAGAACAGCCAAAAGTAAGATTAGATTACCAGCAACAGCAGGAGGAGAAATACACAGGGATTCTGTAGAGTTGTTTGGTTTTGTTATATCCCTCAAATAGGTTTAATCTGTGTTGGGTTGTTAATGCGAGGCGCTGTGAGGTTGCACGTTCGCTCATGCTGGCGTTGGGAGAGAGGAGGACTGCTGGTTTTGGTAGCAGCCACGTATTTCACCAGACATGAATCCATAGCCTCATTGTCTTAAAATTGAATTACTGTTTGTGAAAAGATCCTGCTGGCTGAGCAGTGTGCCGCAGAAACAGCTCATTACCAACTAATGCTGCCAGATTAATTAATCCTGTTCAAAAAGAGTTTTAAATGTTTTGGAGCCACTCAGGTATATTCATCCAAAAGGATTTTGTTCCTTGCATGGCCAAGCGTATTATATCACTGTGTAGACAGGCAGCTAAAATCGTCCAGCTTACGAAAGCGTCATAGAATTAGTTGTAATCCACAGGTTTTTTATGTTGCTTTAAGTGGTAAGATCTACTCTTGCTAAAGTTGTAATAAATCGGGATCAGCCAGAAGCTGATGGGCTTTGTGGCCCCGCTGGATCTCTCCAGTAGGTGTTAGGTTTTTGCTCATATAGTAATTGGAAAGGTGGCGATGTGGAAGGCGTTATGTTTAGGGTGGTGAAACACTGGAATGGGTTGCCCAGAGAGGTAGTGGAGGCCCCATCCCTGGAAACATTTCAGACCAGGTTGGACAGGGCTCTGAGCAACCTGATCTAGTTAGCGGTGTCCCTGCTCGCCGCGGGGGGGTTGGACTAGATGACCTCTGGGGGTCCCTTCCGACCCAAAACTTTCTGTGATTCTATGTTGTAAGTGAACACTCTGGCCTTGTACCCTCAGAGAACAAACAGAGGCCTGCAGGAGGCCAGCAGTGCCTTCAGAAGCCAAATGGGGCTTTTACTCCCCTTTCCAATTGTACTGGTCGTAGGTGTGATCCAAACTTGGGGATCACAGGCCGTTTACTGATCTGTGAGCTCCCTGACTTTGGATGATTCAGAACGGGGCTATCGACAGCTAAACAACTGAGGCCTCCGCGCCGAGTGTTAATTATGAAAGTACTTCTAATATTTCCAGTCACCGTGACTCCTTCTGGACAGATCACTACCTCCGGTGCTCTGACATTTGACCGTGCATCGACAGTGGAAGCCACAGCAATTATCTCGGAAAGTCCGTCCCAGGGTGATGTTTTCACGGGAGCCACCGGTAAGAGTTGGGGTGCATGTCTGTGAGACATCTGTGAGAAGGGGGAGAAGGGTTTGGACTCCCACTGCTCGGGGAAGAAGCATTCTGAATGCTGCACAAAGGATTTCTTTCTCCAGAGCTTACAGAGAGACTATGTAACCTGCTGTCCTTCCTTTGAAACGATTTCAGCAGCTTGCAATCTCACCAGCTGCACAAAAGGGGTTGTAAGTTTTGCCCAGACGCTGCAGCTGCTAGCGTACACCTCTGCTGATTTCGAGGGGTTTACGGTCACCTCTGCCATTTTTTTCGCTCCTCCTTTGTCCTAAGATGCTACCACAAAAAAACTAGCGGAGTGTTGAAACTAAGTGAAAAATGCTGAATAAATGCTGACAATTGCCAGAGTGAATCAAACAAAATGTAAAAGTGTGACGTATATTACAGTTCTTTGAGATTGATTCTTAGACGGGGTTGTGAGCTCTGCTGAGGGAACTGTGCTGCTCTGAGAACCGTGGTTTGGGGTCCTGTGATTATTGTAAATACAGAGGGGTGTGGGAGGGAAGCCAGCAGTAACCTTTGCCTTTAAAAGTGAAAGCAGAGAGAGATGACAGCGGTACAGTTTGCCTTGCTTGCCAACTGTGTAAGACCATGCTACTGTTTCTCATTTGCAACCCTTGGAATTGTCGCAGAGTGTAGGAAGGTGCATAAAATGTAAAATCAATACGGGCGAAAGAGCCTGACAGCTGTGTTACACAGTGATTCGTAACGCCCTTGTTCTTCTGCAGTTCAAGACACCAACGTCCAGCAGCCTTGCCGGGTCAATCACCCAGAACCCCACTACCCGAGTTACCAGGACAACTGTCAGATTTCTCCTTTTCCTGAAGCTGCACTGCCCACATCTCATCCCAAACTTGGTACGTTTTATGTCCGTCATGTGAGACACCGCTAGCAGTGCTTGAATTTACTCTCTCACCTTCTTTTTCCACAAAGGTAAAGATTGAGGCAGAAAATGAACTTTGCTCTGCTTTGCTTATGAGTTTTGTGGTTATTAAGATTTGGACACACAGATTTTCCACTGTATAGAAAGTTTTTCACTCTGTGTTTGAGAACTTTGATTTATTGGTTTCTACCGGAGGAGGCTGTTGTGATCCTGCTTCCTAAATTATCTTGCAGTCCCTTGCCTTTCCTGAGGCTTTTGCTTCAAGGCTTTTGTCACCGCTTGGGCACTGTGGCTAAACATATAGTTAGTTTTTGATCTGAGGAGTCCAACCCCTTTAAAATTATGTCACAGAAGCTTTTCTAAAAGTGCCCACATCTCTTTAGGAATCCGCTGCTACGTGCTGAGGCAGTTTCAGGCAGGCTGGGTGTGCTGCTCTCGCATCCAGTGTCAGTTTTCCATCCCTTAACGCTGAGGTTTGTGCTGGAATGATAGGCGCTGGTTAACAAGTGCACGGAGAGCCTCCCCTGCTCTGGTCACAGAGACTCTGGAGTAAGAAAAGAAAACAGTATCTGTCGTGTTTGATAGGACGGGTTAAACTGATTATCAAGTATCTCTTCAGATGTAATTATATTACGTAAACTTAGTGACCTTTCACTTGCAGAGCTGACATAAATTAAGTGAGGGAGGACGCTGTTTGAGTGTTGCCTGTACTGATAGAAACTGGGAGTGTTGAAGAAACTGGAATTGCAAACTTGGAGCATTGTTCTTGCTTTATGTGTTTTTATCGAGCCTGGACGAGAGACACAGCAGGGAACAGCCTGCCGCTGGCTGGCTGATGGGTTGGGCGATTTATAGGCCTTTTACTCCTCGGATGTCTGTGAGTCTCTGAAGTTACTCTGGCACGTACTGATTGCGCTGACACAGAGCAGCTGCAAAGCAGATTTTGATCCCTGTGACTGTTCTCGCAGACATCGAGAAAAGATCATGTAAACATGTTGTATTTCTCTGTGCGGTCTGAAGTCTTTCTTTTATAAAGGCTGTTTTCTCCCCTCTTTGTGACCTTTTATTTACTTATTCGGCAGATCTTGACGTTACTAATTAAACATTGATTTTTTTTTTTCATCAGTGAATACTTTCTTTTGACTGCGAATACCTAATACCAAAACGAGGAATCGGAAGTAATTCCTGTTAGATAAGTTATCAAATGCCATGCTGGCCTAAATATTGTGCTGGAAATGTAGCAGTGGGAAAGGCTCTTCTGCAAACAGCCGCTGATAAAAGGCTGGTTAATCTCTTACTCATATCTAAGTGCAAATAGCTCTACGCCAGTCACATGCGAATTGATTAAAATTACTATTTTAATACTAATAGTAGTTCACCTGTGTGGTGAACTTGCAATGCTGTCAGCCAGAGAAGGTCGCACGTCTGAGACACAGCGACCTGCGGTGCTGCGGTTGTTGAGACCTGTTCTCTCTCTCCAGATCGGTGCTGGATTCTTTCAGCTTTTGCTGCTTGCGTGAAAAACTACCAGATCTGACTCGAGAAGGGTTAAAGTGTTAATACATCTAAATTAGTTGCTGTCTTGGAAGATACTCAGTGTTCAGCGCAGCCTCGCAAGTCTTGTTTGTCCGCAGATGCTTTGCGCAGGAGAGGTTCGCTGCGAGTGGAACGGCTGGAACTGCCGCCTGCTGCAGGAAGGTGTGCTGGCCTGCTGCAGTTCGGGACAGTATTTACAGTCAGATTTTTTCAGGACATTATTTACAGTTGGATTTTAAGTACCATTTGAAGTGTAGGCGAGAAGATTTTTTGCTGAATGGGGTGGTCTGCTGTTCTATGTTTTTAACTAGGCTGTGGAGTTTGCTGTTCTGTGTCCCCATCTTTCAGGGGGAGAGGTCTGAGGCTGGTTTCTGCCTTAGACAGGCCAGCGTGCCAATATCTGCAGTGACATCCAAAACGGATTGCGATGGGAGACTGATAGTAAAGTAAATGAGAATAAAGTGCCTTTCAGACACTTCAACCTCTACAGTTTAAGAACTTCCTGCTTAGTACATTTCCTAACTCAAAGGAAAGTTTCAAGGAGAAGAATCTGGCTCCAATAATGATCCTTTTTAATGAAAACCATGGTGAGTACCCCGCAGTGGGAGCTGTGCTGCCTGCAGCTGGCTGCAGGGCTCTCCCTTGTGACGCTGCAGATGCCCAAGGACAGTGAGGGTGCGTTTCCTTCTGCAGTGTCAGCAGTGCGGGAGCTGGAGGCCGAGCTGGCGGGCAGAGGCGCTGGAGGGGTTGAGTAACGCAGGCACTGGCGGGATGCGAGCAGGATTTAAATGGCTCAGCACTTCTGAAGGTATATTCCCAGCTGTGTTCAACATTTCTCTCAGGGCCGTAGCATCCATCAGTTGGAACGGTTCTGCGTGTTTTATTTGAACGTGTCACTCATAAAAATTCAAGGAAGGGAATTGGCTTTTGGTGCCTGGAATGCTGTCAGGAGGTGTGAAGCTAAAACGTCCATCTGGACTGTATTACGCTCACTCTCACCTTTGGGATTAGGCAAGGAGAGATTTCGGACCTGTAACAAGCATTGCTGTTCAGAATACCCAGGATATTTGAATATAGTAGCTGCGAATATCTTTTATTAAAATTTTTGGTGTTTCAGTGTGGTATGTGTATTGTTACGGCCGTAGTTTGGTTTATGGGTAGGATCCAGGATGAAGGGGAAATGACAATTGCTGAATTTTTTTTGAAGGGCTTCCTAACCGGTGGTTTTGGAAAGTGCATGTTTGTAATGCATGTAATTTTGAGGTGATAATAACTGACTTGGTTTCATTCCAGTCTTGGGTCAGGGTTGTGATTAAGGTCAGAATTCAGGAAGCACAGGGGAGCGTGGTGTGGATCGGTGCCTGTGTTTTGTCGTTTTGCAACCTGGGAACTGATGTCTGTATAGTGGCATCAGGAGATTTCAGAGAAGTATTGGGTCACTGAATGGCTTATTATAACCTTCCTTAGTGAGACTAAAGGGAAACATTAAGTGGAACATTGTGATGACAGTGGCGGACTCTCCCTGGAAATGCTGCTTTCACTGCTTAATTGGGCCTCCCTCCAGCAGTGCGAGGAGGTGTTAATTCCTTCCCAGAGTAAACAGGAGGGTCAGGAGTTCTGTCCTGTGGGTCTGAGAGTGCTGCAGGGGCTTGTTCTGCACAGACCGATTCTGTGAGCATTGATCTGTTTAGCAAAAACTTAGCTGGATGGGAAAGTTTTGCAGACCATATTTTTAAAGAAAGCAACCAAACAACACACACACACACACAAAACCCCCACAAAATCCCTCTCACTTTATGGAAATTAAATGCCTTAATTCTCTGTATTTTTTTTTTCTTTCCTTATATTCAGTGTTAACCTCGCTCCCTGCCCTGGCGGTGCCCCCCGCGACCCCCACCAAAGCCATTTCCCCTTCGGTGGTGAACGGGCTGGAAGTGACGGAGCAGCGGAGCTGGCTGTACTTGGAAGAGATGGTCAACTCGCTGCTCAACACCGCCCAGCAGCTGAAGACTCTCATTGAACAGGCCAAGCAGGCCAGCTCCTCCTTCCGCGAGGCTGCTGTCACGCAAGCCAAAATTCAAGCTGATGTGGAGAGGAAAGAGGTAATTACGCTGGAGGGGGTGAGAGGACTCAGCCAAGGGCATCGTTTTGGCTGAGTGATGAACAGAGTAATACCTCGCTGGTCGTCACTGGCTCGAACAGAGATTGTTTCTCAATGTCTTAGAAGTTGTTTCTCAATGTCTTGAGAGCTGTATTACCAAGAGAAATCTTTCTGAGTTACTGGTGTCATGGGGAAGGGAGTGGAGTGCTCTGGGATCCCGGGAGCTGTGGGGTGCAGGCCAGTAATACAAACTGTTTGGTGTTACGAGTCCTGAGCTCTCCCATCAGCCATCCTTAAATTTATGAGACGTGGACACTGAGTCCTGGTATGGGAAAGATGGTGAGTGTTCAGCCGTGCAGTGGCTGCTTTCTTCATGTCAAGTGAGTGGGGCTATCAGAGAGGCTTTCCATGGCCCCAAGAGGCAGAGGGGTAAAAAGAACAGCAAGCTGTAGAGTTCATGGGGCAGCTGAGCAGTACAATTTAGTACTTTAGTACTTTAAATTAGATTTAGTACAATTTTAGTCTTGCTGAGCGTTGTGCAAGCAAAGCTGATCTCGCATGAGTCTTGCGGTAAGACTGCGAGGCCGGCTGGCATTACAGGAGTGTTGGCTGGTACCCTGTGTAAGGGGTTGTCTACAAGGACTGCCCTCTTCTCCCTGCTTTTCTTCTCGTTAGTTGGTGCATGGCAGGGACCCTGGGTTCTTCTTAACACCAGCTCATGCGTGTGCCCTGAGTCTGGCTCCATGCGCTGCTGGGCGCGTTCCCCTTCTCCCCCAGCTCCACAGCTGCTGGCGTGGACTTGAGGGAGAGAGGCGGGGGGCAGCGTACTGTGCAGCTGGTGTCGTTCTCGTTAGCTGATGAGCTCCCTTCCTGCACACCACGCTATCTGCCGTTGCCATCGGCGTTATTGCTGACGTCAGCTTTCCACTGAATTCATAGGCACGAGTGTGCAGCAAGAGACCTTGAAGAAATGCGTGTGGGAAGACTTTGCTGAGAACTGAGAACCCCTATGACAGTCCTTGCAGCATCTTTGATATTCTTTGCCACGTTGTCTCTGCTAAACTCTTCTGTACGCTGCATCCCTGACGTGCAGGCGTGTGATCCGTTGAGAGTCTGGCTCTTCCCTGCCTTCCCTCTGGGCAGAATGGGCATTCGTGCTGCTGTCCAGGTTTGGGCCGTCTGCTGCTAAAAAGCCGTGTAGAGCGTGGGATACCGAAAAATTGGAAGCTTTGACGCAGTTTAGAGATGAACTTGTGATTTTGTTTAACTTCACTCTCGGATCTTTTTCCAGTTTATGTGCTGTTTTCTCTTCGGTTTATCCTTACAGTGGGTTCTGGAATGGTTGTTCACAGTCCGTTCCCCTCACCCTCTGATCCAAATGCAGCTCACTTCAGTGTAATTCTAGTTTCTTCTTGCCCCCCGAATGGGAGTTAAAATCACTCCTGTGTATTGATTCAAGTGCTGGCTCTACAAGGCAAGGATGAGCACGTGCTTGTTTCCAGAGGCAGCCCCCTTCCAGGAACTGCTGAATGCCCAGTTATACAACTTGTGTGTCTTACCTGTTGTGTAATGGGTACCTTAGCAGTTTTGTATTTTGATAAAAACACTTGCTCATGGTGGTAATTTTTTAATATCCAAATAACAATTCTCAAGCCCGTGGCTGTGTGCTAGCTTCTAGAACCATCTGGGCAATATCGCAAGTAGCTATTTCTGAATTCCTTCTAGTGAATTCCGTATTTGGAAAAAAATCTGGGTTTCTGGGTACAGGGCTGGCATTGGAAGTAATCACAATAAATGTCAAGGAATTGGCTGTCTGCTTTTGTGTTGGCCAGAGGTGCTTTTCCAATTTCATGCATGTTTCCCCGATGTGTAACGCAAGTCTCTTTCCCACCCTGACTATGTGTGTGGGCAAACTGCTTTCTTTGACAGTTAGGGTATATGAGAGGGAGAAAGAGGTGTCTTCCTGCCTTGGTGGTTGTTGATTTTTGCTGGACCAATTTAATACCGAGGAAATGGGTGCTTTATCACCACGCTGTGTTTGTTACACTGACAGAACTTCCAAGGGCTAACAAACGGGCGTATCTTCTCGCCACCTCCTCCGTTTGCACGAGCGGAGACGGGGAACGCAGCGGTGTGGATGCTTCTCTGCAGGAGAGCCGCCAGTTCACAGAAGGTCTGTGCAGCAGCGTGGTCCTAGGTATTTAGAAGTGAAAGATTGTGTCATTGTATCAGAGCTGCAGAGCAAAGGCTGTACAACAGATTAAATTATAATAGAGCTGAGACTCGGCTCTTCCTGGAAGAGTGACTTAATAGACAGCAGGATTAAAGAGATCTGTCAGGGGCAGGCTGGTTCCCAACTGGATACACAAACTTCATTGCCATCACTAAATATGTATCTCTAGTTTTCACAGTGGTGCAGAGCTCTTTCCCCTTTCAGTGTCCCGGCTCTGGAGGACGTTGAGTTCAAGCACTCTGGATCTTGCAGCTGTCCGGATCCCTGACCATGTCCTTCTGTCACTGTGCTGAGCAGGGAGATGGCCTCCGCGGGCCGACAGCAGCGCAGGACAGCGCGCTCGGGGCAGCACTGTCTTTACCCGCCCTTCTGCGGAAGTCTGAAGTGGCCCCGAGTTGAAGCAGAGTAAAGAAGAAGTGGCAAGAACAGCAAACACGCAGGAAAACTTCCTTGTGTGCTAGTTTTGTTCCAGTCTTCCTAGAGAGCAGTAAATTAAGCATGAAGAATTTTTAATCGCTGCTTATATGCTTTGTTGTATATTGCAAATCACTCGTTATTCACTTGTTATTTAATGAGCTTTGGAGTTCATTAAATATCACAAATGAGCCAGTCTGCTCCCGTACCGCAGCAGTTTGGTTGACTTGGCTGTAAATGCCACCAGTGGTACTCTGTACTGAGCAGTGGCAAGCGCTCGTGGGACTTGCAGAGCTCTGAACTGTGGAAGGCAGGCGTCTGCTCCGAGTTTTCTCTGAGCAGGGAGGCGTTTGTGCTGCCTGTACGCTTGTGCTCTTACCTCTGAAGTCAGAGAGTGGACATCACTGTTTCATTCTGCTCACGCTTGCTAATGATATCATCCAGGGCTGTTCAGAGGAGTTGTGGGAATACATTATTCCCCTCCTTTTGAAGGTGGAAATGCCAACATCAGAGAGGAACTGGCAGGAAGGGGATCTGCTAAAGGTAGCAGGGGAAAACTATAAAAAAATTACAAGTGCAGCATAGATTAGAAGCATCTGCAGTCGCGTTTCTTCCTGAAGATGGCATGTCTAATCTGAATTTTGCAGGAGGATTGGATCCCCGATTGCAGTTCCAAACGCATGGCGATACCTAGTTAGGGGGTCCTCAAAAGCAGCAGCGGGGCTGAACTGGGAAGTGCTGAGTGTTCAGGCATCCGGCTGTACAGCAGTGGAATATAAATGCCTGTCTTCATAGGCAGGTATAGAAAATACAGGAAAAATACAGGAAAAAAGCTTGCTTTCCACTCTTCTCTCGTGTCTTTTTCACTCTGCCTCCCTGCTATACGGTTACAGCCGTATAATGCCCTGTGTCAGGGTCTGGTGACATCCCTCGCTGTTCTGGAGAAACTATAGGTCAGGTTCCCAGGGCTGGAGCTAACGGCTTCACCAACAGAGTTTTTCTTGCACGTAATTTTGTGATTTTGAAGTCTTTGCGTGCGCTCTGTTGCTGTCTGTGTCCTTTTTAATTTCTGTAGATTTGTTTAAGGATCATGGTTTGCTGGGCAAATATCAAGACTGAGGATCTCTTCCAAATTTTGTTTCCATCTTTGCCACAAGTTATTTAGATGTCCCTGGGTAAGGCCATGGCCTCTCTGGGCCTCAGAGCCTGCTCTTTCAACGAAGGATGACACTTCCTTCACAGGGGGCTTGCGTGCCAGTTTGCAGGGGGGTAGGATCTCTGGGTAAAAGGCCGTGAAAAAATGCCTCAACCTTGTAAGTCCTAAAAATGAGGACAATTTGTAAACTTGAAGTTTACAATTCCCATATTTATTACAATATCTCGTTTGCAATAATTTCTTTTGAAACAAAATTGTCCTAGAGTCTAAGAAAGTGGTTAAAAATACCGTTCCTGTTGTGAATGCTGCCTGCAGCACCGCGTGTGCCTGTTGATGGTGAGAACTCCTTAGTGACTAAGCCGAGCCCTCGCAGAGGCCGTTCCAGACGTGACACTGGTGGCCATCAGCCTGGTGCTTTCCGTGTGTGTAAGCGAGAGACGCGTGTGCAGCTGGGGCTCAGCCGGCGTCCGGCTTCGGGTTGGCAGACACCACCTAGCAGTTGCGTTTGTGTTGCCCACGAGTCTTGGGGAATGACATTCTGAAGAAAAAGCAAACCACGGACTCCCCAGCTCAGTGCTTAGATTAACTTCTAAAATGCGTCATGCTTATTGCAAAGTATGAAAATATCAAAATATTTGTAAGCTTTGTCTGAATGGCAGCATTTTGCATGGGATTAATTAAATACAGCTGCTCTGTCAGAACTTCATGCAGCTGTTAGGAGAAAGTTCTCCCCTGTCGTCATTCATTAGCCTGTGACTGAGTGTCTCTGATCCTTTGGCTACTGTCTGAACGTTGGCTCTACTGCAGTTTTTAGTTTGGGGAAGAACATTTTCGAGGAGAGTGAGTGGGGCAACAAAAGCTTGGTGTCTCTTACAGGAGATACCTGCCAACTTGCAGGGCTGGCCCCAAAGGAACGGATTAAAGACAGTGCTGTACGCAGAGCTCTGCGGGCTGCGGCGATGTAATTTTTTTGAGTGTGCATTAAGCCATCGTTTATATCAGATAAACTTTAGGAGGGGGAGAATACATGAACTCACCAAATTCCGTGCCAGAAGACATTGCTGGAAGATAGCAAAGATACTCAGGAAATGGGTTAAGCAGTTTTTCTGTGTAAATTTAAAAGATTCAATGTCGAAATATGACAAGTGTTTTAATTGAAATAGCCACCTTTGTGTAATGCAGCGATGCCTTCGGAGCCCAGCCCATTTGCTAACAAGGTGGAAGATTAACTCCGCTAACAGCTGGACCATCTGAATTCTTTTTTAGAAAGATTAAAACAATTCAGGACTAGAGAGTACGAAATTAACCTAAAAAGGGTCGGGCATTTAAGAAATGTAGCTCTAGTAAGCAAAGCATGGTTTGGGTACTCCAAAGCAGCAGTGAAAACAGTGGAGCATTGGAGGTTACCAGTTTTCTGGAGCCGCTTTTGTGAGAGATTTGGATGTGTCTGGCTCGGTTCTCTCTCTTACCACACCTTTTCCTTCTCCCTTGTTTCTGAGTGGCTCGTATCCTTCGCACCGTGGGCTGTGGAGGACTGCCTGCGCGGGTAGACAGGAAGGAGGCAGAAGGGGGCTGAACGCGTGGTTTCCATCAGCCGGTTGTGAGGGCTGAGAGCAGAGGTGGAGGAGCTGCTGTGGCTCTGCCCAGAGGCGGCCGGAGATCCTCTGTGGTGCCTTTCTCCTTGCAGTCTCCCTGGAGAACAGGGTTAGCAGCACTTGTAGAGGATGAAGTGGACGCTAGTGGTGGGAAGGGTTTTCATTCTGGAGCTGTGGCACTTGGTCAGAACCGGAGTTCAGCGCGTTCAGCCTCAGCACTGTCTCTGCAGGGGCTGTTGCAGAGGGCACGGTACTGGCTGGGATTATGTGTGCAGAGGTTTTCAAGCTGGGCTGAAATGCCACCTCACCGCATGCTGTGGTATCTGTATTTCCACCTCCTTCACGAAAATGTTTAGAAACATTACGCAGTTTTCCTAGCCCAGTGCTCTTAACGTGGGTCTTTTGTCTTTCCCTTTACCGTTCAAAACTCCTTTTAACCTTTCCTGAAGAGTCCACGGTTTCCTGCCAGCCCTGTTCTCTGCCTGTGCAGCCTGGCAGCGGGCAGAGGCTGCTGCACGAGGCATTGAGTCCCAGCTTCTTGGTGGCCGGTGCTCACTGACGTTAATGATTCTCTCAAGAATCAAGGCCATCTTCTTCCTGAGACAGCAAGATTGATTCTTAGGCCAGAGGCCATGTCTCAAGCTGCCGGTGTATTCCCTGTCTTCACAAGAATGCTTTTGATTTGGACACAATTTTGGTTTGCAAAATAGCAATTTTGAGATTTCCATACACGTGGTGCACGTTTCGCGTACGCAGTACCGGAAGCATCGGGGATGCTGTGCCTGTGCCCTGGCGTGCCATGAGCCTGGTCTTGCCTCTCTGTCTGACAGTGGCAGAACCCAGTCACACCCCGTGCAGCGTCCAGCAAGAGGCTTCCCTGCCGCCTCCACCACCTCCCTAGAGCTTTTTAGTTTGCGTTTGTGTCATGGTAATAGAAAGGTTTTGAGGGTTGTGATTTCACAGGAGAATAAATACTGTGATGTCAGGTCACAGAGACACTTGTAAATTAAGCCTTTAATCTCCTTATATGTTGGGTCACAGTCACTCCTGGATAAACCTGCTTTGCCTGAAGGTGAGGGTTTGGGTTTTTTCTTACATTTTCACTGTTCCAAATAAATGTAAATCTGGCACATAATCAAATCAGGATCCGTTCTGAATTCCTTTGTTTTAGGACTCCTGCCTCTTAGCAGCATTGGCTGCTGAGCGTGGCAAGGCAATGGGTGCAGCAGCAACCTGGCTGGGCTTCAGCTGGTTTGGAGTAGATCTGCAACACACCCAAAGTGTGCACTGGAAGTCACCTCCAGAGGACTGCTTAATTCGAAAACTGTTGGAAAGCCCTTTCATGCGTTTATTAAAAGGAGGGATAATGGTGGTGGTTGATGCTGTTTTGAAAGTCTTGAGCGTGTTGATTTTGTCTGTTTTTGTCCCCTAATCCATGTCGTTGGGCTGTGCCATCCCTTCAGACTCTTTTGCCTGTTAGTGGACTACGATCGCTGGACTTGACCCAAATGTTGGCCCAAGAAGATGGCGCTCGGCCCTATTGCCTTGGTGTTCTCCTTGTGTTCCCTTTGCGGACTTCCTAGGCTCTTGCGTGGGTGTGCAGTTCCGTCGTGGCAATTAAGCCCCCTGTTTTAAGGAGGAGTGCTTGGCTGGACGGAGCGGGAGTAAACGCTGTCCTTAACCAGCCATTTTCTCACAGACTTCTTCATCAGTCTCCACATACGGGCATAGTGTCCCTCTCTTGTAAGGGCCGAGCGAGGTTCCTGTTCAGCTGCAGTTTTGGGCTTGCCAGAAGCAAGCTCGGTGTCAGGACCCTCCTTACAGAGCACCCTTTTCAACCCCCGGTGCCGTACGCGGGCTGTGAAATGACACGTCTGGTTTATTTTTCCTTGCAGCAATATCAGAACCAGTTATTTCAACAAACAGACGATGTGGATGGGAAAACAGAAATCATCATTAAGGTGAGCGGGGGATGTCTCATATTTTATGAAGAGTCTTGTGTTGTTTGGCTTGTTCCATTAAAGATGCAGAGTTTTTTATCGTTGCTGCAGAAGCAATCTATTCTGTATCTGGCTTTGCCTTCTGGCAGAGGACTGAGCTTTCCCTAGCGGGACTAATTCTCTGTTCGAGCAGAGTGTGTCCCCTTTCCCAAGCCTTCCACATTTTCACAGCCCTTTATCGTCATCTGGCCGGGTTAATCCATCTCGCTCACCTCTGAGGAGCGGTACCGCAGCTCTGATGGATGGCTGTCACTGAGGCCTGGCAGGAAGGAAGTTCTCTGCCTGTTTCTCCTGTGAGCTGGTTTTCACACCTGCACAGTTTCCTCTGGCTTCTGGAACAGGAGGATGAGTCGAGCTAGTTCAGGACCCGTGATTTAAGCCCTTACAGCTCGATGTGTTATTTGTTAGCCTTTCTAAGAGCTCCCGGTACAAGGGCACACACTGCGCATTTTCAGCATTTTCCAACACCACACAGGTTCCAAGCAGTCTCAGTCGAGTACCCCTTGGGGACAGGCTTTGCAAGGCCCGAGGAGCAGCTCTAAGCCCCTCTTTGGTGGCCTGAATCCCCGGCTGTACCTCAGGAGTACAAATATAGTTCAGTCGCACCAGCTGTTCGATGTAGGTACATTGGTGAGACGTGAGCAGGTGAGACATGGGGTGATGGAGTCGGTGCTAATCAGGGCGCTGGTTGCTGGATCGGTTGGGCTCAAAGGGAGGAAGGAGCTGGGGGAGCTGAAGATGCCTGTGATACTTTCACAGCCGAGAAACACTTCCCGTCACGGCCTCACACTGCTGCTCTGACGTGCTAATGATTTATCAGTAATTTAATGAGCTGGAGACGGAATGCTCTGTGAAGTGCTTATTTTTGTGGTAGTTCAGTGATATTTCCACCTAAATGTTCAGGTTGTGTTAATTGATGTCACTGATACAAGATTAAAGCGATAGACACAAAAACATCCTGTAAAACCCAGGTGTGATTTTTCTTCCACGTATCCTGTCTCACCTTATTTCTAGGTTTAAGTCCTTGCTCCTGTTACAGCCTTCTCACTTCCACTCCCCTGTCTTCTGTTTCCCTGTTGGGACACTGCTTCCGTAGTCGTGCTGCTGACTGGCAAGGGAACAAGCCTGCTCAGCCCATAGGAGCAGATCCCCTTCTCATCTCAAAAACCAGGGAAAATTAAACTGAAGGGTCCCATCCTTATTCCTACTCCTGTTGTCCTTCCTCAGACCCTCCCTCAGGGATACGCAGGAGGATAAACCAAAGCAAAGCAAAGCAAAGCAAAGCAAACCAAACCAAACCAAACCAAACCAAACCAAACCACCAACCCAATCTGCCCTTAAATCTTTGTATCTGAGAGAAACTCAGAGCTTGGGTGTCGACGGCCTGTGCCCAGGCTGCACGCCGCGGCCCTTGGTTACGCCCGACCCCTGCAGAAGCCTGCAGTCACCTGCCCAGCCCATGGGGAGGAGGCACCTTTGTGGTATCGTGGACAGACTTCTGCAGCCGCTCAGTGTCTCGCCCACGGTTTTGAAGGGCTTCTTGCCCACGAGAAAGGAAGACAGAGGTGCATTTCGTGTCCCAAAGTGATCCCTGCTAAAACGGTGAGGAGCGTGGGTTCTCTGGAGGCGAGTCCAGAAGGCACAGGGCCTGTTTGCTTTGTGTTTGTGTGTTGAGGCTTCACTGCTCCTGCGCTGTGTCACGCTACAGCGCCTGTGTTACGCTGTGGTGATCTCCCTGTTGTTATTACTTCTGACGTGGTCACTTTGCTGTCCATTTTCACAGCAGTCCTGTGTCAACTGTGGTCGAGAGGCGACGAACGAGTGCACGGGATGCCACAAAGTCAACTACTGCTCCACTTTCTGCCAGCGCAAGGTATGAGCTGGGTTGCGGATTCGGTTGTCTGGAGAGGGCTGTGTGACCCCGGGGAGAGCCCGACAGCTCTGCCTGCTCCCTGATGGGCGTAAGCACGGCGAGAGGGACGGGCGGCAGAGCCTGCCGTGTCGTGTGGGCAGCCGGGGCC